GGCTGAGGGGAGGTAAGATATCCATGTACATAATTCAAAGTCTAGTTCAGACAGCATTTCAGGGCAGCCCCTTTACACACTCCCACCTTTTCCCTTGACTGACTGTACTGGTTTTGCAAAATTAACCTACTTTCATAATTTAAAATAAATTAGGCTAAACCCGCAGAGAAATCCAACCCCCATAACACCACCACCACAGGGGTTCTTCAGAAAGAAATTTAGATAGAACATAGAAGATTTGTACTGCCCTTCTCTGCTATCTACCTGTTGTACGGCTGAGCTGAGGCCTTCAGTAACTCCAGGTTTCCTTTCGTGTTAAAGTGAAGAATTAAAAAAGAAACAGGCGTAATAAATTAGTGCTAGTTTTAGCACAGAGGTTCAGAAGAAACTGACCCACGCTTTAAAGCTCTCAAGACTAATATTAAGGCAGCTTTTAAGGGATAATTTCAAACTGGGCCTACTCTGCATTACTGGCTACACGGCATGCTAAAGGGGGACTTAATTTTTTTTTGAAGTCACTATTTTGAAGTGTATCATCAGGCAATTTCACACTGTTCTCCCTTTCAGGGGAGCTTTGATTAAAAATAGCACTTTTCAGGTCAAAATACAACTACCTATCAAGAAGTGATTGTTATCATTGCATTCCCCCCCACAACGGCATTTGTGAGATAACTCGCTATGTTTCCATTCAAATGTGCTCTGAGATTCATAGCTGGAGAGGTGGCAGAATTGGAAACTGCTATTGGAGTCATTAAATCTACATTGCAACAGCAATTTCATTTTAGACACAAATACTCCTGTTGTCAAATCAATACTTGGAGTTTATAAGTCACTTTCCAACTGTACAGTGCTTTCCAAGTTTACCCTCATAGTCACTGATCTCCACAGTGCCCATGCCGATATAAAAATACAGAAGAGGAAAAGGGGAGAGAGGGCAGGGAAAAATCGGTGGTCAAGAGGCTACAGCTCGCTCGCCACTTTGCACAGCCCTTAGTCTGCTGTGCACGGGCATTTACACAAGTATCATTCCCACTCCAGCATTGCTTCTTCCAGGTTTTTCTCTGAAGAGCAAGGCTAGCATCTGGAACAAACTCCTATTCTCTCTTCTTCTTCAGCCACCCTACGAAGCAGATGATTCATTATACCCATTTGTGGTTTGTTGGAGTTTGGAGGGAGCCCTTCTTGAGGTCTCTTGTGCACTCCACTGCAAAACGCTTAAAGAGCACTTCTGGTCTCCAAAGAACTCACAAGGTGAAATTATATGGAGATGCAACAGGTAAATTAAATGGATCAGGAACAGACAGATGAACTAAGAGACTATGAAACACTTGTTGAGTACTACTTAGATTCTCAAGAAAGTAGGGACCTAGACTTTACTTGGACTCCTCGCTCACATTATAATTAGTGTTGCTCTCAGTGAATCAGGATGAGTCAGGCTCCAAAGACTTTAGCACTTAAACACCATTAAGAACCTGGGCTTTGGCAAAGAGATCTTCAAAATTACTCCACCCCTATCAAAGACAACACTTTCTCACAGGTTTCCCGGTTCTAGTATGTCAGTTTCATCTGCCTTGTACTCTGCTGCCAAAAGTGGAAGAGGACCTACTGTCTGAAGTGCCTCTTATTCTGTTTTTGCCATGTTACCCTTTTCTCCTTTTTTCTTCCTGGTCCTGTCCAGGTGGTCTTTCAGCATGATGCGCACTTGCCGTTCATTCTGCATGTCTCGGATGAAAGAATGCTTAAGCAAGGTTTCAGTGGATGGGCGATGCAAATAATTTTTTACAAGGCAGCTTTCAACAAAGTTGAGGAATTTCTTTGACCTAAAAACCATAGAAAAGTAGAGGAAAACAATAATCCTTTTCAACTTGTATGCCACTACCCCCGAGTGATGGAAAGCACTAACTTTGCAAGGTTTCCTTTTGCACTGGAACTGTGTGAGACAATTTGAGTTTTGCCACCAGTGTACATCCTGAGACCAGCACAGAGCTGAGGGCAAATGATGGGGAACCCCATCCTGACCGCTCGGTCAGTGGAGTTACCCTGAATTTACATCTGAACCAATAAAACCACAATCTGGCCAGTGCAACTCTCTCAAAAAGACCCTTACCCTTTTGATATGGTGCAGATTCTCTTTATACACTTCATTTAAAAGACTGACTAATACTTTGTAGGCCACAGTGACTGCCATTAGCCCCGCAATGTCCATGCAGTCTTCTGACAAAGCACTGACCCCAACCAGCCCACCTACACTTTGCCTACACTGCAATTTCAGCCTCCCACACCGAACTTTAGCAACTGTAATGACTGCTGCAGCTTAGGCAGAGTTCAAAAGATAGGTAAACTATACTCGCACCTGCGGTCTAACCCAGCACGAGAAACGGCCTAGGAAAGACCTCATAGATCACTGTAGGATTTAACAAGATCGTTGTCTCTGGGCAAGAGAGCTCAAAATCCTCCTAAGCCCAACGCAGCAAAAATACATTTTTTAACACATCTCTTTACCATTTTCTGGATTTCAACTTTGGAGGTGGGTTCCGTGGGATGAGGAAGAGCGCTCTCATGGGGTGCATGTCGCACAGGGCTGCAAAGGAAACCACAAGCTATTGAAGGGTGCATGTCCCCCCCTGCCGTGTCCCTCCCACAGCCTGACCACGCTGACCCAGCCGGGCCAGAGCCTGCTTCTCCTGACAGAGAGGAGCAGTCCTCCACAAACACTCCCGCTTCCAACAGCACAGCATCCGCCACAGGTTCACACTGTTAGTCAAGGAAATTCACACTACAGCCAAGAAATAAAGTCTCTGAGCACAGAGAAATCTCTTACGACAATATGCTGTTATTTCAATTTAAAAGAGATTTGAAGGGAAGGCTGTATGGCAGGAACAAGCAGGACTTTCTTCATTTTTTTTTAATATATATAAGGCTTCATACGGACATAAAAAATGCTCACCTTTCTAATATGCCACAGGATGGTTTTGCATAAATAGGAGTTAAAGCTGGAACTGAAATACTTATCTAGTTTATCATGTCTCGCTTATGGTTCAGATAAATGATCAGCTAAATTTTAAACAAACTTTTAGCTACATAGTTCATGGCATAAGACAAAATGCAGGATGAAGAAAACCTGATGTGAAGCAGTGAGTTCATAAATGGCATCACTGGCACAGAGTGTAATGACTAAGCACACATTTCATCTATTCTGCGTTTCGGGAGTGTGAGCACCATTATTACACAATCTGCAACAGATCCTACCCATGCATTCAGACGCTGTTTTCTCTCCAGCCCAATGTACTTCTCTTTAGTGTTACTGTTGTGGAAAGTTGAAGCTACAAAGAACTCTGCAGAAAGTAAATACTGTCACATCTCATCTAACCCAGGCATTTTGTATGGAATTGTGAGTGTGGCCCATCTGTCACGGAGAAATACTGAGGGTCAGAGGTCTTCCTTCACAAGAGAGAGCTACTGAGTGACAACTGATAGGAACTATATGGGGGCTGATTTCTTACAATACAGAGGTGTTCAGCAGTGATTCTCTTAACAGGAATGGATTTCCAGTGTTACAGGACTAGAAAGAGTGAGAAGACTGTGGTCTTGTAATGGCTTTACTGCCTTCTACTAATTTCTCTGCCTGCATCCACCTGCCGTTGTTTCTCACATCTCAGTTGTTTTTGACTTTTTCCTTTGTATTTTCAATAGCACGTGACACGGTGGGGCCGGGGGGCAGAAGAAGTCTGGTTGCTAGCTATGGGTCCCAGACACTGCTGTACAGTAAACAAAACATAATCCAACAGGACATAATCCATAGCATTTCCCTGCCAAAACTAATGAAAACATCAAACACAAGTGGCACGAGGAATTAGCATGCAAAGTCTCTCTCAAAGAAAACTCCCCACAGACTCACATCTCAGGACTAAGCTTCAGCTAGGCTAAAGCAGAGCGTCGGAAAGCGCTCCTGAACTCCAGCTGGCTCCGGAGCGCTGCTAAAAACCAAGTCTGACGGGACAACAGCCAAGTGTGTTTTTTAAAAACACAGCCTACGTGCTCTCAAGCTCAGGCCAGAGTATAATTTATTTCATCTCCTGTGCTCTCAGCAGTGACTGGATAACCCATCACATCGCATCTGCTTCGCGGGCGCTGGGGCAAAGCAAGCGGTCCTCCGTGGAAACAAAAACCCACAAAATCTTTGCATCTACCCTGCACCTGCCGATCTCTGCCTGGGGGCTGCGAGAGACTAACCGGAGGAGCGAAGGGCACAGCCGGCAGGCGAGGGCAGCCTGCGAAACTATTGCAATCTGCCGGCAGGTTGAGAATGTGCTCAGGGACCAAAGCCATTACGTGAGCAAATACAGTATTCATACCAAAACCTGTGAGAATTAAGTCAGTCCCAGACAAAAAAAATATAACCTAGCCTACCTTCTCCCACTGCTCTATTTTTTTTTACTATAAGTGACCTAAACCCAAAGCCCCTTGTCAATTGTTTTCTGCTAATGTGTCAATCACTTCTGCTTAGCTGTATGCACTGGCAGCGATCAACAAAGCGATGCTAACAAGAGCTCCAAGAACTTTTTTTTTTTGTTTCCCTAGGAAACGAAGGCAAGGAATCAAAATATAGACTCAAAGGGTCTAAAGGGAAGAGGAAAGCAAAAGACCCCAAACAAGAAAAAGTCATAGATTATTTTTAAAGGTACGGCCAGAATCAGAATTTCGTCATCTGTGCATTAGCCAAGCATGAGTTATTTTAACACAGAACACGTTCACAAAGCACAGACACCCGCACCTTTATACCAAATCACTTACGAGGAGCTCCTTCAGCCATTTCAATAGCGGTGATTCCCAGAGACCATAGGTCACTCTGCAGGAAAAGAAACATTGCACATTGCACCTTGCAGCATTCAGGCTTTTTGGTTATTTTGTTTTCTTACGTGGTTTTGGGTTTTTTTTGGTTTTTACAGTTTCCCTAGATTTCTCCTGGATCGAGTCATTTTAGTTGGAGTGACACACATTCTGCTCCCTCCCATTCCCTCCTGAGCTTTTAGGAAATGTGCTAATAGCCAGAAGCTTCCCATTTCCCATGCAACTCTGAACAGCTGATTCATCATTTAAGCAGCCAGCCCCAAAGTGCAAACCTTCTGCATGCAAAAACCAAGAGCCAGAATATAGCAGGCACCGTTTAAATATATGTCTTAAATCTTTTAAACTGTTTTCATGAGGCAATGAGACACAGCAGTGCCTCACCCCCTGCTCCTGGCCAAAAAAGACCTTGGTCTTAATGCTTATTTTACAGCAGTCATTGCTGAGCTTCTACACTGATGGAACAGAAACTATAGTCGGGCCTTGGGGTCTGACTTTTTCTCTCTGTAAAGTCTACAGTCACACGTTTTGGGGCACATGAAAGGAGAGCACAATCGCGCAGTCGGGTTTACACCATAGTATATGTTCAGCTCGGTTAACTTTGAGTGGAGTTTCCTGTATCAGCTTCTCTGGATGCTAAGGGCCAGGTTTTCGTCATGGGAGGTAAATCAGAAGCGCTACCAGTGACTGTAAAAACTTCACAGATTTCCACTTGATTAATTGTGTGCATTATTTTATTATTTTTTGTGTCTAAATGTAGCTAAATGAGAGGCACATGACCAAACCACCTTCCAGAGCTTCTCTAAAACTGATTTTAAAAAAGGGAGTAACAGAAGACAAACCTTCAAAGATTAGAAGCAATATACCATTACATCAATAGCAGCTCATACCCAGCCTGGCACTCTAATTTTGACTTTATCAACAGAGCCACATTCTCAGTACAGCTGCTCTGAATCGCTTTACGCAAGCTGAAAAACAGTTTGCATCACAGTTTGTGGAGGCATTTGACAACAAAACTGGTGGGAATTTAATAGATTAGCAATCCTGACTTGTTATCAAGTAAACAACTGAAAAAGTCCTGTAGGGGTAGTACCGTAGGTTTTTGGGACAATGGGAGAAACAACCAGCCTACAAAGAATTTTGGTTTGGAGTTTCAAAGCATGAGAGGCAGGATGACAGCAGTATTTGTAAAGGTCAGTGTGTATATATGCACGTATTTATGCATATATATTTTTACTCATTTCTTGTAATCTTTTTTTTTTTTTTTTTTTTTTTTGTTTGAAATCAGAGCTGGAACAGCAAGAAGGTACAGAGTGGCTTCCTGCTACTTTCCTCATCCCATCAGCTATAAATCTCTGCAGAAAAGACCGGCCCCATGCCACCTTCTGAGTCATAGTACTGTCTGCATAAGTGCTTCCAAAACCCTCCACTGATCAGTTTTAAACTACCATCTGCAGAATCTATTCAGAAACAGACATAAATGCACACAGATGAACTGTGATTATTACTGAAGGCAAAGAAACCTCAGGAATGAGGGGTGTATGTTCCTAATGCTTATATCTTCTGAAAAGTGTATGTTCTGAAAAGGAAATCGACTGGGGAGAGGGAATGAAGACAAGAGATTAATTTCTTACGGTTTCAGTAAAAGGTTTACATGGCATGAAAAATAAAATAAAATCCAAGAACATTCTTTGGTCATGACTGACACTCACACAACGTGACCTCACTCTGCAAGTGCAGCACAGAATGTCTCAACACGGGAGGATCACAGCCTCTGAATCACTAGAAAATGGGAACAGTAACAGGCTCTTCTAATAAATATTTTTGAAGACACAATTAGAGTTGTGATTAGTGGCGCAGAGTCTAGTTGGAGGTCAGTAACAAGTGGTGTTCCTCAGGGGTCAGTACTGGGTCCAGTCCTGTTCAATATATTCATCAATGACCTGGATGAAGGGATGGAGTGTACCATCAGCAAGTTTGCTGATGACACAAAACTGGGAGGAGTGGTTGACACGCCGGAAGGCTGTGCTGCCATTCAGCATGACCTGGACAGGCTGAAGAATTGGGCAGAGAGGAACCTAATGAAACTGAACACAGGGAAGTGTAGAGCACTGCATCTGGGGAGGAATAACCCCATGCATCAGTACAGGTTGGGGGCTGACCTCCTGGAGAGCAGCTCTGTGGAAAGGGAACTGGGAGCATCAGCATATGAGGAGAGCAAGGAGGAGAACCAGAAAAAAAGTGCTTGATAGCTATTCTTGGGCTCCCCAGTACAAGGAAGCCGTGGACATACTGGAGTGGGTGCCGGGAAGGCCCACAAAGACATTTAAGAGATTGGAGCGGGGAGGCTCTGGGCTGAGAGAAATGGAGCTGTTCAGCCTGGTGAAGGGAAGGCTCAGGGGGATCACACAGGCATACAAATTCCTGATGGGAGGGGAGTAAAGAAGACCAAGCCAGACTTCTGAGTGGTGCTCAGTGACACGACAAGAAGCAATGGACACAAACTGAAATACAAGAAACTCTGCGCCTTCTCACCTCAGCCACCCTGTGAATGACCAGAACTCATTCTGGGATGGGAAACCTCTAGCAGTCACATGCTCGTAAGTGACTGGAGTGATACTAATTATTGCCAGTTAACTCAGGATTTGCAGCTGAGTAGAGAGGAAAACAGCTCTATCACAGAGGAGAGCAATAACTTGTCATATTAGTATTACACTACTTCAAGTATTCCTTCTAAGTTTACCTCTTCCTTTTGTTTCTATCCTGACCTGCAACATCCACAAATCAGTACTCTTTTTTTTTTTTTTGCACAGAAATTCATGAAAGTGTATTTCATGTATCAACAATTCACAAAAAAATATTCATAATGAAACTCCACTCTTAAAAAGAGCCACCACCCACACATTACAAATACTTCTATTTGTACAGTTATAATATTATCGTGGTTTAGCAGGAGGGAAGTTTGAACTTTTCAAATGCAGTACTTGAGCAGGATTTCAGCCATAACCCGCACGTTCTGCTACCTTATATAGAGTTGTAACACTTACTCTGTAATCATACGTAGAGTCTGGGTTCTCCTCGCAAGCAATGACCTCAGGCGCCATCCAATACGGTGTGCCAATAAATGTGTTTCTTCTCCCAATAGTCCTATCCAGTTGAGCACTTACACCAAAATCCACTGAAAAGCCAAGCAGAGGTAAAGAAATTAATAGAGCTGTATCCACTGGCAGAGTGTTTGTTTGGTTACTTTCATACTGTTTGGAATACCAAACCATTGGGCTACAATGTCCTATAGTTGAAATTTAACCACCTTTTTTCTTTCTTTTTGACAGAAGGATCAAATAAACATCATGCTAAACCTGCCAGGCAGATTACAGCAGACATGAATTGATCTAGGAAGACATTATAAAATAATTTATGCTTAATCTAAATGCTACATTGAGCAGGACTCGAGATCTTTAACTAGTATGTGAAAGGGAAAAATAGTATCTACAGACAAGGCAAATTTGGATGTGTCTAATATGCTCATTTGTGAAAGCTGAAAGAACTATCATATCACTTCATTTTCAGGTGTTTGGAGTAACTCCTTCCCTACATTCATACACTGCCTTAGAAGAAGCTGGAGAGTATACTAGTTTATTCTGATCTTAGGCTCATTATAATGAGAAAATGGTGTGGTGCTCTTCGTGCTGAAAAGGGTGTTACTTTCATCGGGATTGTATAGCAAAATGGTTTTGTACGGATATGAAGAAGGGCCCATACAACCAGTAATTATGTGATTGTATTTTCCTTTGAACAAACCTCTAAGATGCACTAATTGGATCCACTGGGCATAGTACTTGAGTGCTATTCACAGAGAAGACAAAATAACAGGGAAAAGAAAGGACCGAAATGTGACAGCCCTATGGTTACCATCAAGGAGCAGATTTTCTTACTTATGTTACCTCATTGCAGATCATCTGCAGAACAAAATCATTTGTACTACTATAATTTAATGCGCCTGTTTAGCAAACCTTTTCCAACAATAAGTTGGACCTTTGGGATCACCATGCGCCCTGTGCTTCTGATGGGAAGTGTAGACACACTGAAGCGGAGTGGAACTGTTTTGAGGACCTCTTGAGCTTCTGGCTTCTTTACTTTAAGACACATGAGCTAATTCTCTCTGGAAACAACTATTTATTTTTTTTTTTAATTGTCATATTTAGCAAATCTGTTTCATCTTTAGATGAAAGGTTTACCTTGCTTGTCAACCACGTGAAGAATGGTGGGACAAGTAACTGTACAAGACCGTAAACACACACAGATCCCCCCATCTTGCCGGTTTTAAGAGGGAACAGTTGAAAACTAGTACATATCTTTTAGAGACTACAAGCAAAACCCTGCCTTCATTTAATACGACAGCAAAACTCCCTTCGACTTCAGTGAAGCCAGGATTTCACCATAAGGTTAAACCATAATGAGATCTGAAGTACTTTTTTCTAATTGCTCCAACCAAACATCCTACCCCACATCCACATGCCATGTTTATTATTTTTGTTCTCCAACTCTACAATGAATTCTTTCAATTAAAGAGAGACGGAGTGTAAATATCATCCCAAATAAGAGAAGTGCTCTCCTGCAGACTGCTCCTTTAAATCATTGCCATGTGCTCTCTGTGATGTCTTCCCAAAACATGAAAGACATCCCCTCCTCCAGAGAGATATGTACTGGAGTTTAGTCTTAGGAAGTCAGAAGTTGTCAACACTGACATGTCACAGCTAGAAAAGGAAATGAGTAAACTCTCCGACATTTTTGAGAGATGACTATTAGTAAGAGCCACTCTTCAGTGGTAGACCTTACACATGAGTAACTTCACCTATCGTCAGTTTTATGAAAATCTCTTAGACCACTTCCCTGAGACAAATGGATTAGCATAATTTATTCCCCCAACTTTTTTTGTTTTGGAAGTCTTTGCATGCCAGGATCTGCTGTGAAGGCCATGACTTACTAGACAGGTTCTGTGTTTGACTGGCCAGAAGTAGCTGTATTCCCCACAGGCTGAGTGACATCCTTGCAGAACATGTCACATTTTCAGCTCTTTCTACATGACGGACACCTTATAAACAAAAGCATTAATACTACTTGACACATTTGTTGCTCTCAGGTTACTGAAGGTTCTTTCTGAGACAAGATGGAAATCTTAAATTTTTAGGAACAGGTTTCTAGCAAACATTTAAGAAAACTTACCCAGTTTTACTTCTGCATTTTCTGTGAGAAGAACATTCTGTCCTTTAATATCTCGATGGATGACATGGTGAGCATGAAGATGTGCCAAGCCCTAAAAGAAAACCAGACTTCCCTTATTCTTTCCTCCTATCATTATCATGAGTGTGGCACTGGTGCCTTTTCACACTTCTACCTTTCTCAGACTTCATTCATAGGGAAAGTACTTTAGATGTTATTAGCAACATGAAGACCCCAGTTTCGGGGAGGAGAGAGGACAGCAACCGCAAGTTTGATTGTCTTCTTTACCCAAAGGCCTGACAGTAGTGGAGCATCTCTGAAGTCAAGTGCGAAGAGAACAAGGCAGCAATATTTTGAACTTCTGTCTCAGAATCAAGGGATGCCTCCCCATACTATGTGTAACAAACGAGGGGAAAAGCAACGCAGAATGCTCTGTATGAAGACCAGCGGCAGCAGCTGGCTGGCCACAGTGGCTAAAATTCTGCATTCAGCAAAACCATGTTCAATGGTAAATGGACCACAGAAAGTTCAAAATACCATGTCAGTCCTCTTTTTGAATGCAGCAAATCCTGTTTTCATTCAGCTAATATTTGCAATATTCTGTCTTCTCCCTCATTCCAAAATTGTCCATGGTTAAACTAGCATAATATAAAGGAACACACTGAAATAATACATTATAGTAAGCCAGGGGATGCTTCACTCAAAATGCTTAGCCTCTGTAATATTAATGACTTCAAATAAAGCTTCCACCTGGCTTCTAAATTTTCCAGAAGAAAACATTGTCAATCCGTGTGCAACTGTTTTGAAACAAGCATGATTAAATCCAATCTCTTGTTTTACACCAGCACGCTGTTATGGTTTTCAGTTGCATGAACGTAAACCAATTATTCTAACATCAATTGCTTTAACAGAGATATTATAGCCACACAAATGAAAAGCAACCTGACCAGACCGTTAAGTTGTTTTGGGTTTTTTTTTGCAGAATAGCTCTCCCCCACACTCCCCAGCTATAGTTATTACAATCTGCAGTATAATGCCAAATCCTTGTAAGATGGCCAATGTTCTCTACTGAGCACGCTTCTCAATTCCTCTGCTCCAGAAGCGAAGATTTACCCCTTTTCAAGCATTACTTTGGCATGTCATTTGAATTCCAGCTCCCAAAATACACATTTATCTTGCCATTATTTAGAAAAGAAGTAAAACTCCATTACAAGGAAGATGGATCAGTAACTCTGTAATGGGTTTTGAATTTAGAATGACAGGTTCCAACATTTTTTTTTCCAGGCTAGTTCACTAGATTACACTTGGGAATTGTTTTATCCTCTGTACTTTCCAGGAACAAAAAAAAAAAAATAAATCCCTAAGCCTGCACAGAACAAAATATAGCCCCAAGAACTGGCTTGGTGAACACTGCCCCAGCAGGGCCACCTTTAAGATTTTGGAATGCTTTTAAGTCAACATTGCTTCTAATAGTGCGGAAAAGAGGCCCCCAAGTGTGTGCAGGTAAAGGAATCATGAACAGAAAGATCTTACACAGCATGAAGAGCTGAAGCAATGAGCAGTAAGATCTACTGATGTGGAGGACAGACTTAACTGAAAGCAGAAAATGTATTTACTTTTCTAGATGTCCAGAATCTGGACTTTCAGAAGACGGCTGTTTACCATAGGAAACAGGAATTTTCTGTTCTTCACACAGAAAATGGGATTAACTGCAATAATATGGGATTGTTGTGGTTTAGGCAAGCATCATCATAGTGGCTCTTAGGACTCTTCTGAACTCAAGGACCAGAGCACATGAGCCCCATTGACCAAAACTTTTAAACAATAATGCTCGTTAGTGACCTATGTTAGTGACCAAAGGCTTGGAAAGGCCTTTTTGTTGCAAATGAGCAACAAAGCTCTGTTGGCACCACTCACCCTGAGAACCTCTCTGCAGATGTACGCAATCCAATCTTCCTTGAAACAGTTCCCTTTTGTCTTCTTTACCAGGTCAGTGACAGAGCCCGCACCACAGTACTCCATCACCAACTGCATGAAGACAAACGCAACACACCTTTAGCACAGCACTGACAGGGTGCCAGCAGAGGTACCCCGTGCAAACACCCCCTCCACCGCAATCAAGGTGCGGCAAACTACACACCACCTTCCCGGATGCCAAGCGACATGAAATCTCATTTCCTGAATCACACACATTGCTGAATAAATAAAAAACCTCAGTAGTGCTCCTCTCCTATTGCAGGTTGGGGTTTTTGGCTGTTATTTTGTGTGTGTGTGGTTTGGGGTTTTTTTGTTTGGTTTTTTTTTTTTTTAGATACTACAAAATCAGAAAAACAAGAGCTAATAGCACTGAAAATCATGGAAATTTTTTCAGAATTTGAAATTTCTCATTTTGCTGCAGAGCTTCAAAAATCTTGTAGCTGAAAAAATTGGAGGATTCATTCTTCTTCTTTCCTTTATTGCCAATTCCCCTGTTCGCTTTTTTATTTTCCAACTGAAAAAAAAGGAGAGGAAAGCAACAAGAAAAAGGAGAGGAGAGGAAGAGGACAAGCTCTCTTCCACTTTCATTGAAAAAAAAAATTTACAGAAACATTTAATTTGGAAAGAAAAAAAAAGCTTGAACAACAAATCAAAATGACAGCACAAGTCACAAGTATACTTTATGTCCATCCTCAAAGGAAATCATAGGGGATGGAAAACATGTAGGGAGGAACAATTTTTCTCTTTTATATGTACTTATTCGGAACAATGACTTCAGAGTTTCACCAAGACAGAGTCCAAGCCAAGCACACTGGAGCTCTGAGGAAAGGAGCTGTAAATCTCACGAACAGAAACGACACTAAACACTTACCCAGAGCTGATCATCTTGGCCTGCAGGACTTTTCTTTACAAATGCACCATAATATGTAGCAATATTCCGGTGATGGGAGTACTTTTTTAGCATGTTTATCTCAAGCTTGATTTCCTCCTCTTCATTCTGTCACAAAAGAGAGCAGAAGGCTGCTTAGGTGACCAGAGCCCACCGAGCTCCAGGGCTGCCCAGAGCTGCAGGGCAACCTCTGGCTTTGGAGGCTTCCAACACCCGGCTGGAACCAGCCCTGAGCAGCCTGGTTTGATCCCATGGCTGACCCTGTCTTGAGCAGGAGGGTGGACCAGAGACCTCTGGAGGCTCCCTCCAACCTGAGTTATCCTGTCATTATGAGACTGCAACTGAAGGACAGCTCTTAAACCAACAACTAAATCACCCCGGATCCATCGGCCTAAAACAATGAATTGCTAGAGTTTGAGCTGAAGAATCAAAAATGTTCCAATTTGGGTATAATGAACGGTCTCATATTGTCTCCTCAGGGGGCTCAGACAGGACCTATTACTCCCCCATTTGTGGTTTCTGCATGCAGTAATTTAGTCTTGGAGAAATTAACCAGATTCAAACAAAAATAAAAATATTCTTAACACTCCATTACTTAAATACTTGGAAAAGCACTTAGCGCACACATCAGCCAATTTGTCTTCCCAGTCTCGTGGAGGGTCTTGCTGGGAGGAAATCAAAGCCAAGAAGGAGGCAACTCGCCACAAATCAAACTCCAGAGCCAGCGCAGGGTTAGGATCTGCTCCCTCCTGCCAGTTGTAAGGCCACCCCACCTGGACCACGGAGTTTTTTCCCCGCTCCTAACATCATGCCACCAGTGAAGTCTCTGGCATGCTGAGGGCTAGCCCACCCCGAGACATCTCCTTCCAGGCACTAGCCAGCTCTATTTTCCCACTGTCTTTATTTCAATCTCTTCAGGGCAGACATCCTCTTCTGCCCAGTACAGCACCGTGCACCACAAGATAACTAATGAAAACACGAGTTTTAATAATTACATTAGAAGGAAATGCCCTTTTTCAGAGAGAACTGCATGATTTGAAGAGGTCCTCTCAGAACTAGCCTGTTTGCTGTTGCCGCCACTAAGAGAAATGGTGCACAATTCCCAGTGAAACGCATGCAGGTTTTGCGGTCTCATTTGCTTTAATAGGAAATGAGTGGTGCTGCAAGGTACCCCTTGTGCCAGTTAAAAGGAGTATGACAAAGCTGAAAATTAATCTACCTTGCTGAAAAACATCCCAGTCAGCACTTACTAGCTGAAGGGGGAGGAAAAAAAAAAAGGAAAAAAAAAGAGGCAGCAAGAACAGCTCAGCCCCACAGGACATTTTTCTGCACTTTTCCACTATTTTCCGGTAGCTTTGCCATCGAAGCATTCCTTTAACCATCACAACAGACTGCTTACAAAACCAGCTGCGTTGTCCTTTCTACCTGTAGCAAAACATTAAAGCCCAACAGGCTGAGGCCACATTCCCTCAAGCATACGCACATGATGCGTCTTATTAAACCCGACCACACAAAAAATCAGTCCCAGCAGAACAGAAGGGACCAATAAGTTTTCCCCAGTAACATCAATCCACAGGAGACACTTTACCAGACCAAAGCCTAATTGTCTTAAGCTTTAGGAAATGGGAAATGTAAAATAACTCCACTTGAAGCAAAAGGAGCTATTTCAGGCTTCAGAACAGTCCCTTTGTGGAACAAGGGCTCTCAAACTGCACACGTTACACTCGATATTTCATTTATCTTTTGTTTGCAATTAAGGAGAAAGGTGGACCCTTAATCCTCAGCTTGATACAGCCCTGGATGTTGTATGACTTAATTAGCGAGGGTAAGGACGAGCCCAGTGCAGCATCTGGAGTCTCCACGAGAAATCAGAGCCGACTCCAGGACAGCATGCAAAAAATCCTCCATAAGCAAGGTCCTATTTCCTCCCTGCAGGCGGCCAGGGCACAATCAAAAGGAGCCAAGAGCTTCTGCTGATGCTTTCTGGAAGGGGAAGCAAGGCTCTGCTCCCTTTGGGACTCCATGTGAAAGGGTGGAAACAGGCAGGTGAGGAGAAAGAGGCAGAGAATGAGATGGGAGCTACCATCCTGGACCTGACCACAAGGGTCCTGTCACCAATACGAGTTTCTGCCAGCAGATCTTTAGGGAAGAAGGGCAGAAAGTGGGACAAACAGGGAGGACTCCTTTCCTGTCCTTGCTGTCCCTCCTGCATCCTGCTCACTCCTGCTTGGGCAACCAAACATGTGGAGTGGCAACATTAATCTTTGGTAAAGTCCTTCTCCAAGTTACATAAGGTCTCTTCAGATCTCAAGGGTTTGGGTTTTTTATCTCTGCCCATCTGCGTGACCTTCGCACTGGTGGACCCCAACTGAAAAGCATCCCTGCTATGCTCTCAGCACCAGCCTGCAGCTTTCACAGAGTTCCCCTCGAGCAGCTGCCACATCTCAACCACGTCCCCAGGGCTCCTGCCTCTTTTTCACCTCTTCCTCCTTTGCCCAATTAATTTACTGGATGTTGGAACCGTGCTGGCACAGCTCTTATCCGAGCACTTTCTATTCCTCTGCAATCTCGCCTCCACGTTTTTAAGACAAAGATACGCATGTGCCTGTTTGCAAACACAGCTGGAATACCGGGGAGGCTCTTCCGCACCCGCCGGCAAGAGCAAAGAGTAGCTGCGCATGTGTAATGCTCCTTTCCCGTCACCAGCAAGATGATCCAACTCCTGCCTGATCTCGTGTCCTCATCTCTTTAGATAGGCTGGAACCTGCTCCCTCTCTGCACCTGCCTCTTCTTCCCTCGCCCATCCTTGCCTGAAGAAGCAGTTACCTATGCTGTACGCTGCTCGGGTGCAGGACCAGTGCCTTGGGAAGAGACTGCTTAGACTGGACAGTGGGTTTCCCCGCTGAGCCCCACCACGGCTGGGCAGAAAGCCTCTGAGCCAAACTCTTGCATCCTCCAAAGACAGAGATGTGACTTCAAATATCAGTCTGTGCAGTAAAGGGCCACACAGGACAGCAGGTGGACATTTCCCAGACAAAAAGTACTCTGCCTTTCCAGCACTTGAGTGAGTTTTGGAAAAATTACTGTTTCACACAGAGAAACCAAGGCAGGAGGGTAAATGTGAGTGATTCTGTCCCATGGGCCATGTCTGAGGCTCAGCCAGGAACTGAACCTGGACTTGCTCAGTCTCAGTGCTACATACACCCTCCAAGCAGGGTAACCAGGGACAAAAGCACCCTCAACTTTCCAGTGCGTGCACATCCTCAGGATTTCCACTTTCCACCACCCCTCTTGTCAGTGTTACCATCCGCCACATCTCCCAAGGCTACAGAAACCTGCTCATAAATCATGCTGCTTAAGGAAAGGAAACAAGCTCGCAGATGTGCAGGTGCAAAAAGCTGTTTGCTTTCACAAACCAATGCGTTTCTGGGCACAGATGGCTGCATGCGCAAAGATGACAGGTTCATGATCAAAGGCTATTTTTGAAGATGTGGGCCTATCTGCAATGACATTAGGAAGCAAAGAACTAGAAAGCACACGCCTCTGACCTCAAATGGAAACAAGATCATCAGCTGATAAAACACTCCACCGAGAGACCCCTTAGTGCTGGGGCAGTTCTAATGATGTTTCGCATTTAAATGTTATTTTGCCCTCTGGAGAGACCGAAAGCAAGGACAGACAGAGTGACCTTCTGCAGAAGAGCTCTTTGATCGCCTCCACCGAGACCTGAAGAGACAAGCAACAAGAACCCACCCTCTTTGCAAGAGGTTTGCTTGGCACCAGCAGACCACAGGAAGCAGAGCCTGCGTGGAGAGGCGCATGAGCGCACGTTGCCATCAACCATTTCAAAGGGCTCCCCCCGCTCCCCCCGCCGCGCGGCACGGCACCGCTTCCTGACAGATGTCCAGAGGATCCCGCAATGACCACAGCATCCTGCTGCCGCTCTTCAGAAACCAGCCCGGGGCTGCAGATCATGACGGCGAAGGACAGATTTGCTCAGCTCTCGGTGTGCCCCAGATCTTAGAGCTGAACAATCGCAGCTGGAGCTGGTCAGGGAATTTCTGATTAAATTATTTCTTGCCAGGAAAAAAAAAAAAAAAAAAGCGAAGATCTGGTGAAACAGAATCTTTCGGCAGAAATGTACTGGTTATGATGAAATGTTAGCTGAAAGATGACTTAGGTTGGATTTTCTATTGATGAGAACATGACGCTGGGGGAGAGAAACCCACTGCAGAATATCCAATGGGCAAGGAAGCAGCTCAGACCCCTGGGACAAGAGATACCCGTGTTCAATCCTGTCCTCTCCCAAGTCAGACAACACCGACCTATTCCTGAGCAGGTTAGTGACCAAACCACCAACAACTTCTGGTGGCATGGGGCTCTGCCAAACTCAGCCACTGGAATTGGAATTGCCCCATTTTGAATGAGACAGTTCTACTGGAGGCTTGAACTGGGGAGTCTTCTAAGCAGGTACCTGAATCACAAGGCCAATCCACGCATTCAGCTCCCCTACACTTTTTTTTTTTTTTTTTTTTTTTTTGGAGTTTTGTGAAGGGAAAAAAAATGCATTTGTCTTGATTTCATTTTTTTAATCTTCCGGTTTTCTACCACATGAAATTTTCACTCCCTAAGAAAACTGTTCTCTGTGCAGCACTAATCAGATCATATAACCACCCAAAGATGAAAATGGCCACAGGGGCTGGGAGCCTCCTGCCTCACTCAAGCAGGTTTACTCTGACAGCTCCCATTTCTCACAAGCCAAACTCCATGTGAGATGTTGCTCTCAGGTGCAATTTATAGGCAGGACATTGGAGACGAGGATTTCAATATTTTAAAGACTTTATTTAATGCCTCAAGCTAGTTTTTCAAGACCAAAGGATCAGAAAATAACTTAAACCTGATCAGACTAACAACGCAGGAGAAATACTGAATCCTCAACAGGCTCTGAATTTACGACACTGAAATTCTCGAGACTGAAAGGATTTCTACATTACAGTTAGGAGCCAGTGCTGCTGTGAGAGGCTTCAGTAACCAAATTCTATGAAGCAGAGAAAAGCTATTGCTATTTTACTGAAGAACTGAGCTTCAGAGATGCCCCGGACACGTACTGCATCAGCCTCAGCCGTAGCCATGCCCCCACCTACTGCCACCGCAGAGCAGGAGCGCATTGGCTTCATCCACCCCATCTACTCTGCATGACAGGAGACCAGCAGCACGGTCCCTGGCCAGACAGACCAGCTCAGGAGGCCAGCAGTAACCCCACTTCTTACAGCCACGTGGCTCACCCCGAGCGCTCCGGGAAATTGCACCGAGGTGTCTGAAGGGCTCTGACCGCAGCTGCCAACCCCACCCTGGAAGCCACCAAGGTTTACCGTAACCCGCCGAGCTGCGAGGTGTGGTGGCTGAGGAGAGGACAACCCCAGGGCACAGCAGACAGCTGCAGGAGGAACCGCAGCGACCGGCAGGAGCCACCTGAATCACTCCCGCTCTGGTCGCCCAATATCTCCCAGAGGCATCACCGAGGGCCTGGAGGAAACCAGCGATAGAGTGGGAGGACTGCATGCAGGTCTGCCAGCCTGCGCCCCAGCAGCGGGAACGCAGCCAACTCCGCGTTAGGAAAGTGGAAATAACAGCAGAGCGCCCTGCGCTCACCCCGCACCAAGGTCAGAAAGCCGAAATGCTCAAGTAGAGCTGAACTGGATTTGTTCAGTGGGGGAAGAGCACCGGGGAAACCCCTCCAGGTGGCTGCACCAACACGCTCACCACGCAACGCTCAAACCACCACAACTGCTTTCGCATTAAGTGACTCAATGTGAAGACAGCATGATCTGTTATCATCACCCCTCCAGCAATGGGACAGGTTCCCCAGTAAGACGCTGACTTTCTGGCCTGCAAGGAAGCAGCAAATCAGACCTGAACAGCTGGGGTTTGTTCCCACAAACATGCAAGTCTATCAACCTGAACTCCTGAAGCTGGATCACAAGGTTGTCCTCCATTTAAATTTTGTTTCCAAGCAAGCGGGCATTACTGGATGCTACAGTTTGTTTGCAAAGGAGACCATGTTATGTATAGCAAGGGGAAGGAAATCTTTCCAAGGTTCCCTTCCTGCAGTTCTTGCTTCAATTGTTTCATCAAGGAAGGGACTGTCACTGGTGTTAATGTGACGGCCCACAAGTGACATTTCTGGCCAGCGCCCTCACGCACTGTTGTCTGACCCAGCAAAGCCTGAAAGTCCATACAGAAGCTCTGGATCACTTCTGAGTCCCTGCCAGCATCTGCCCTATCAAGTCCTCTGTCAAAGCAGGGAGATGCTCTGACTTCCGGAATCTGTCTGCAACACAAACCCTTTCCCCTCTCCCTTCCAAAATCCAGCAGCCTCAGGTTTGGCGACTGCCATTTTTTAAAGCCAAAGCATCTGACAATATATGTACCTGTACAGCTAAAAGCAAAAATCCCACCAATCTAATGTACCATTTGTTTAAATAAAACGCACCCTCCTCTATGCACAGAGAAGAGCAAAACTGGCAATTCAGCTACGCAGGCATATTTTACAAGGTAGCAGCCATAGCCAAACCAGCCCTTAGGTACGCTTTGTAAAAGCACTACATTAGCGCCTAAGTTGAAAAAACCAATGTGCAATTCAGACCATTGGCTGCTCAGGGCTGGATTCCTACACCATCAGCAGAAAGAATGGTCCTGGACCTGCTCTACGTGGCAAGGCCCACGCAGACACCAACTTGTTCTGCTGTCTTCCAAGACAATCAAAAAACATACAAAAAAGCAGGCAAGGCTGGCTTGTGCTTGCCCAAAACACCACATGTAGATGTGCCACTGGCAGACTTGGCCCTGAAGTAGAAATATTTCAGGCAATAACCCTTCCTTAATATCTCAAGAGGACCCTTAACTTCATCTTGAGAGTTTTGTACTCCGTATCTACACTGCCAGAGGGACAGAATGGGGAGCTGGTCCACAGTGAGACTAGGTGCGTCCTCCCAAACCGCAGACGTCCAGTCAACCCGAGCGGAGGAAGCAGGGAGTCCCCCCAACCATTCCGGGGCTCAGGCTAATACGGTCTCACGGAGGCGAGCTGCTTCGCTACTGCCTGCGCTCTTCAAAGGAGAAACAAAAATCAATACCCAGCAACTTTTTCGACACCCTGTTCCAGCACTGACACCGCTTTATAAATGTGAGCGGGGACAGGGCCAATTAAACTGTCTCCTTCTCTCATCTGTCAGATAACAATAAAAAAAGTGCTACATTTGCATTTCTAGCATGTTGCTGCTTGCGAGCTGTCAGGGCAGCTGCTCTGAGGAACGGATGGCATGCGAGGGGAGAGGGTGTGATGAAACACAGCAGGGGCAGCACCGAGCTACAGGAAATCTACTCGCTATCTCTGGAAAGAGATAATCCACGAGAAATAAGCAGGATGAGAGTTCTTCTCTTTGTTATTATAGACCATCCAAACATATGGCAATGCATTCCCTTATTGCTTTGTGACCATTGGTCAGGTACAATTGAAAAATCTGACTGTATTAACACCTCTCGGTACTTTATAAAATACAAACCAGTGCTCAGCAAGCATAATTTATGCCACGGGATCATCTTTTACAAGATGATCCACCTCCTCATGATCTGATTATTTATTTTTCCTTGCACCTTGATAATAACTTTTTTATTTTTGATTTTGCACTCACCTCCGTAACATTCATCACTTTGATTGCTGCCAGCTGCCCAGTCTTCACGTGGCGACCCTGTTAAAAAAACAAAAGACTGTAAGTAAAACATGTACGCAAACTATGCATGCAGTAACTAATTAAGCATACAACAACTGGGGTTGAGTACCTGCTTTCAATCACGTATCACCAACCTTTCCGTGACACAAAACTACCCAGGCGAGGTTTGGTGATGTCTTACCAGACCCATACCCTTGCCATGCTCCAAAGTTTAACCGCGTTACCGCTGTGGGGTTGAGTTTCTCCCTTTAGCACAAAGCAAGCAGCAATGCTGGGAGACCTCTGCTGTCAAAGCACAATGCGGCAGCAGTTTAGGGGTCTGCACCCAACTCCTGCTCAACAGGCGTTGTCGCCCCTCAACCCTCCTCTTCTAGGAGATCTCAGCAGAGGCCCAGGGTGACCCAACCAGAATCACCTTCTCGTCCTGCAATCCCGGGCTGACCCATGCAGGGCAAGCAAGGCACTGGACAGCTGGCACTGTCCCCCACCTCCCACCCAACAGGTTCTGGTTCACCTCAGGGTACAGAGAAAACTCTGGGTTTCAGTATATCAATCTGGAAACCCATATGTGGCTGCCAAGAAACTAAGTCTGTATGTACTTTCTTGCCTTTTTTTTTTTTTTAAATGGCTTTTTACTGTGAAACGCTTAGTTTTTAAAATTCTTACTGCAGCTGAGTTAACCGTATCTCAGCTACCTCCCAAAAAGCATGTAGAGGCTTTGTATTTAAAATATCATCTTCTGTGGTGGTGGGGAGGAACTCTCCCAGGGCTTTGACTGCGTGCATGCCTACATACGTACGCATACTTCACTGGTGAAATGCCCACACCCCACCATCATTACTAAGCAACGGATAACTGGTAATTTTAGACTAGGTAAGTGACTAGGTTTTGAAAACAAAGCTAGGAAAATGGAGGGAATAAGGAATAAAGCTATTAAAAAAGCAACTCAGACTGACAAGATGCGGTTCACAAGAATGTGTACTATAAACGCAACCAGGAATCTTGCTGTAAATTGCACAGTTTCTTGGCTTGGTTAGATCAAGTTGCTCAACAGATGCCATAGGTGCAGTGTTTTGCCACGACAGCCAACACTAATCTCATACTGGAGGACAGTATCAAAAGAGTTGTATGAACAGTGTGTATGACAGGCTACACGTCCTACCTCCTCGCTTCCATCAAATGTTCAGAAATGGGTTTGAACCTTTGAGACTGCAATTTTGTTCCTGAAATAGTAGTGCCTGCAAAGCTGTATATCGAAATAACTAACTGACATCAGTTAAGTAAGCTAATGGAAATCAGGAAATCAAATACGAAATGCTGCAGTCCGTAGACAAAATGATTTGCAGGTGCAATTTACACCTGCAAAATTAAAAGCTGGGTTGATGTCATTTTACAACCCAGGTCCTATCTGCACAAAATTGCATACGAGTGTTATTTCTAAGACTAAGCAATTTTGCATCAAAGAAAAATGTTTCCTCGTTCTCAGGCGATATGTCACAGTCATGTTTTCTTTTACAGAAAACTAAATCCTGCTGAGTTTTTGTATATTTATAAGCGTCCTCTTTCTGTGGAAGCACTCCTGGGATTGCAAAGCTTTTTCCTCATAAACTAGAATGATGGGATTTATATACTATCACAGACCTGAGGCAGAAGACAAATGGGAGACGCCCTCACCAGGCCCACAACACGCACCCCACGGCAGCTGAGCACAGATGGGCAGCACTAGCCCTGGAGATGCCGGCGCTTGGTCAGCATCCATCCCAGCTGACGTCAATCCCCGTTAGCAAGCTTCCTCCGCACAGCCGCGGCTCCTTTGTCGGAGGCCATTGTTTGCAAATGTTTCCAGGCATTGAATGTCTTGGCAATACAGCGAGAGAGGGCCTTCCACAAAACACAGTCATGCTAGACACGCTGGCACCCTGACTTAACTCCAAAGTTTGTCTGGAGTCAAGCACGCTGATAATTCCATGTCTCTGGCCACCACACATAGAAGGCGACCAACCCATGGAAATGATGGGTCTCTCCTGGGCTGCTGTACACTCTGCAAAGGATGACGTCAAGAATCAACGCCGATTTTCCTAATTACAGTGAAGCATGGAGATGGGCTTCTTTACTGAAAAAAAAAATCAATCAATACTAGGCTAACATTGTGCTTGATATTGAATATTTATAAGAATAAGGAAGGGGGAAAGGCTTGGCATTCAGTTTTGATTTCAAAGCACGATACCTGGTCAGCTTGTCCCTCTGCGTAATGGACATGTGTTACTTTGCAGACACAGTTATTCCCACTGCATGCAAACCTACTGCTCTCACTGACTTTTACCATTATAAATGAGAATACTAAATCCCCCTCACCCAAATTTGTAAAATTAGCATTTATGGGAAAGAAAACAGCAAGGCCTTTTGTTTTGTGGGTCGTGATTCACCTTTGCACAACAAATGTGTCCCTGTCAACTGAGATGCACAACTTGATCCTGCTCCCACGTTCCTAAAAGCTGCAACTGGGGTGACTGCTGGACGAGAGGAGCTTAGTCCGTGCAGGGAGGGCAGGATGGTGCCTCTGCCTTGTTTCAGTGCCGTATCTTCCTCACGCCGTGCAAAGTTACTACTAGCCTGAGGGAAACGCACAGGCTCACCTGCCACAAACACCGACTGGGTAAAGCAGCCCTTACATGGAAGTAAATTCTGTTAATTACATGCACTTCACACCCTTACGTTCTTTCAGATCCCATTTTCCTGGAACAAAATAGAACACGGTTCAATCCACCAGAGAATCCAAACCCTTCTCAAGAGGCCAAAAGGAAAGGAGCAGTAAAAACTCATTCCTGTTGGTCTGTTCTGATTCTCAGCTCCCAAAAATTTGTTTTCAACAACTGTTACCACACCTTTTTTAAGAGTGTTCCACATTCTTGGTTGCATTAAGCTGAAGAACCTCATCTTCGCCCACCAGCCCAAATTTGTGCAGGGTAATGCAGAGGGTTGCTGGTTAACCTCATGAAAAGGTGTAAATATATCTATGTATTTACACCTACCTTTCATCAATTATCTAAAAGGGATGAATTAGTTTAAAAGTGTGTATAAAAAAAGTATCTTGGAGAGCGTAGCTAAATATGTATCTACAGCTATATATCTATATAAAAACATTTTCATCATGAGACACTAATTTTACTGCCATCTTGGCAGATTTATTTTTGATTACAGTTGTACATTTTCCCCAAAGTAAAGGATTTATCATTATCATAGAGCAATATATCTCAAAAGTCTCTGCACCTGCTAATGTATGCAACAAACAATGTGGCAGAATTACACAGTGCACACCATCATTTCTCCTTACCTCTGACATCATCCCAACATACAAACATAAAACCTTTTCTTTAAATATTGCCAAAGGAAAAGGTGCACTCAGTGGAAACAAAATAATCAGAGAACCCTGGAGACATCCTAAATTTTATTCTTTCTCCTCCCCAGAACTTCGCTGTCTATTCAGTCAGTTATGAAAAAAGGGGCTGCAGCGAAGCCACCCAACAGCTCACCCAAAGTCCCTGTAAGCAGTGGCTGCACCATATTGAACTCAGCACCACCACCCAAAAAAGCGAGTGTGCTACAGCAAGACTCCACACTAAGAGGGCTGAAGCTTTCAGAGGATGTCCATGTTCATGTGAAGAAGAACCATTAATGTCCATAGAGCTTATCTCAGCAGGGTAACGTGCTCCACGTTCTGCTTGCTTTAACACACAAACTATCACTGTGCTGGCAACCACAGCAAAGATCTCTTTACGTTGGTTTTTCAAACTGTTTCGAGTTCATTTTCCTTGACATCTCTAAAAGCAGTAAACATCCTGAACCCAGCCCTGGGCTTCTTGTTAACACACTGAGACTACTGCCTAAGTAAGGAAAGGTTTCAGGGCCTGGCCCCTTATTTTTTCATTTATCAATAAATCTCAGAGGTTAGCCAGAGTTCATGGGAACTCGCACATTGCTACTTTTGCTGAAGCCACAACTGAATTGTTTTGAGAAAGGTAGTGTTTTGATTTTTGTTTAAAGTTCCGAGGAGCAACTGGCTGGTTTAACTGTTTCCCAACTAAATGAGATCAACTGATGCACTTACTTCCAGTGACGAGACATGCAGAAGTTCATCCTTTTTGATTTAATCCAAACGGGAGGAAGAACAAGGGGCATTGCCCTCCCAGCCCTCTGTGCAATCACCGCTGCCCATCCTCCCCAGATCATTACAGGGAATCAGCCTGCTCTGATTCAAGATCCACCGTTGCACGTTTCCTCAGAAACTGGGCAGAGGGCAGGAATGGTCTGTGGGCCCCTTTCCCGAGTAAAAGGTTTCATCTTTCACCCAAATTCTCTGTTTGAGAGCAGGTTTCAACTCTTGAGAATGCAGCCAAAACATCCAACAGCCATCTGCAAGTCATCCACATTCCCACCCAAGAATACACAGCATTAAACACTATCAAGTTCATACAGAACTTAGACATGAACAATTCTCAAGCTCAATGACTTTCTAAAATTGAAGTTCCTGCCCACATTTCGGTGAGGCATCCAAGCTGGAAGAAATTCTCCCATTAGCTTTGAGACCAGCTGAATTCCTTGTCTCCTCCAGAAAATATTTCCGCACAAACTCTGCTGCAGTTGCCAGTTAGTCACTGCAGTAACATTCAGCAAACCTGGAGCCAACATACACATTTTTCAAATCTGCGTACTGCTCACGGCAGCCACATTTGTGGAAGGTGCTTTATGCCAAAGACCTGGTTCTGATGAGCTCCAACCATGCATTATCTCTGGGGGGAGATATACGTGGAACAGGACAGATCGCTCAGTGTTATTTCTATTGGCATGTATTTATCTTTTTAGCTCAATTAGATAAAGGAACTGCTTATCTATACCCTCTATTGAGGGTCAAGACATGTATTTTTCTATTTACATCAAACAAGAGTATCAGCGTTGGCTGTCAAGCTATCAGCTGATAAAGAGGCTTTACATGAATTAAGTATATTTACCAAAAGATG